AGCACAACCTGCTGGCCCTGCACCCTCCACAACTATGAGAAATTTCTGTTCATTTAGCCAGCTACAAGTCCGTGGTACTTTGTTTTAAACAGCCTGAATCGAGTACGAAAGCAAACAATTTTTCCTTCGAAGTGGACCTGTGGACAAATAAAAATGAATGTCTTTTAAAATCCTGCATCCTACCAGCTTGTTACTGTCTTTCACCATTATTTATTATTTAAGTATCTTGTGCTTAAGCCATCAGCAGTTTGAGTTGTAGACACACGGACACCAAGTGTTCAGTTTCACCCACTAAACCGGGAATGGCGAACCTTTAGAGCTTTCGATGATCATGTGTGCTATAGGTTCACTGCAACTGCATTAGATTAGAAATTTTACAGATGTGAGAACAATTCTTTCTCCTTAGTGGAGAGACCTTCATTGGAATTCAATAAACATTTAATGAATGAGCAATCTTACTATATAGTAAGTGCTCCTCTGTATGATGGTCATGGAAACTGGGTGGATACCTTTGTATCCCAGGAAGCTCGAACTCTCACAAGTCTGTGGACTCTGCTTTTGCATCGTGGTGCCCAAAACATGGAGAGGTGCACATACCGGTCAAAGTTAGAGTACATACTAAAGTTAATAAAGGCCTGGTATAAATGATACCTATACTTATTAAAATCATAATCAAGACATTTTAGTAATTAATCATTAAAGCTCAGGTTGCAGCGTATTTTGTTTACTAGAATATAAGATAGTTGGGCAGATAGCTAATTTTGTTATTGTTGAAGTTTTTTGCTGAGGATTCGGACTTTTTCATATTCAAATTTACTTCCCATTTACTTTATGTAGCATATCTTTATTATTTGTGTTCTATTCTGTAAGGGGAGAAACTAGACTAATCTAAAATATAAGCCATTTGTGTTTTAATAGTGCTTTTGATTTCCCTGAGAATAATTGAGTCTTGGAGCTTCGAATTCAAGAAAACATATCACTGAGTTGCCCTTTATTTCTTATTTGTATGAATAAAACTGGAAGGGAAGAAAGGCAGAAGACAAACCCACCGAAGGGTTTTCTTCACAACAAAGTCATTTTAGCAAAATGTGATCTACCGAGAGAAAAAACATTCAGGGACTAGGAATACTGGAATGTGAGGAAAAGCACACACTAGATTATAATACAGCTCTAAAGTAGCCCGCTCTCTCATCTCCTTTGGTATTAAATAGCCTATTGTGTTTTATTGAATTTCTTGCTTTTCCTGCTGAGTCTCTTGCTTTTCCTCTAGAGGCAAGAGGAGTTCCCCACTTCTGCCCTTTATTTTCTACCTACCCACTTCTTAAAAATGTTTCATTTTCCTGTTTCTTTGCTGCCTTCTTTTATACAATCATGAACTTACAGAAAAACTAAACTTATGTTTAAAAAGATCTTCAAAAATTTTATTTTTCCAGCAAGTTCCCAAGATAATGCACCCTTGCCCATGAAAATCTCAGGTGTCTATTTCCTGGAAGCATTCTTAAAAGTGCCTAAAATGCATTGCAACCATTAAAGTCAAGAAGTAAACACATACATGGTCATCACTGAATTCTCATGTCTTCCAAATCTGGCCAGTTACCCCAATCATGTCCTTTACAGCCAAACTGAATAGTTTCAAACCACATGTTGCATTTAGTTGACAGTTTCTGGATTGGCTGAACAATGGCTGTGGTGATAACAGGGTCCAATCCTGGAAATCTGTATGTTACCTTACAAAGAAAGGATATTTCCAGGCATAATTAGATTAAAGCCCTTAGGGAGATTGTCCTGTGTTACCTAGATAAAGATCACTGCTTTCCCATAAGAAGCAGAGTGAAGTTTAGCATACACAGAGAGAAGGATATGGTAATTGCAGTGGAGATTATAGCAATGAGACCACAGCCAAAGAAGTCAAGTGATACCAGCAGACATGATCAGGTCAACACTTGGACGATGGTTGTGTCGCTGGATTATTTCTTACTTTTAAACAGCATTTGTCTCATCAAATAAAGAATACCAGAAAGGGATTATTTTTGAAAAATGAACCAAGTGGGAACTCGAGTTAAAAGGTACAATGTCTAAAATGAAAAATTCACTGGAAAGGCCTTAAAATAGACTCAAATTAGTGGAAGAGGTAATAGCAATTTGAATATAGATTGAAAGACTTAATGAAATCCAAAGCAGAGGGAGAAAATGAAGGGAAGTGAACTGAACCTCAGAGAATTGTAACAATGTATGCATAGTGGGAATGGGAGAAAGAGGAGAAAGGAGCAGATTATCAAAGAAACAATGGTTGAAAACTAAGAATCTTGTGAAAAATAATCAAATACCTTCAAATTCAAAGATCTGTACTTAGGATAAGCACAAAGTGCACACCTGGAAATAATACAGTAAAAATCCTGAAAGACAAAGAGAAAGTGCCAAAAGCAGCAAGAGCAAAACAGCACACGCATGCAAGAAAAGCCCAATGAGGTCCACAGCTGACTGACCATCAGAAACAGTGGGAGACAGAGACAATGGGAAGACCGATGCAACGTGCTGAGAGAGCCATCAAAGAACCTCATATCTGGCAAAACTGAGAAATGAAGGTGATAAAACATGTTTCTGGAAAGGAAAACAATTTATTGCTATCAGTCCCATCTCACAGGAAATACTAAATGAAGTTACTTGCTCTGAAAGCAAATAATAATTTATGGCAATTTAAGTCACACATATGAACAAAAGCATTGGTAAAGATAGTTATGTAATTAGAAAAGAACGTTTAAATGCATATTTCTTCTCCTGTTTTCTCTAAAATTGTTTAAAATGCTATTGTACGACTTGAAGTTGCTCTAGTAGTATAGCATTTGCCTAGTACGAGTGAGGCCCTGAGTCTAATCCCCAATACTTCAAAACAATGAAATAAAAACAAACTGTGGAAACTATGTATATGATTGTTTTGTTGGTCATATATAAGATATTCAATAATAACAATACACTGAAAGTGGATGGAAGCAAACCTGGATTCATGAATGACACCAGACAGTACAACAAACTAATAACTAAACTAAAACTTTTCCTAAGAGCTAGTCTAGGGCCTCCTTTCCCACACCTACCAGTGCATTCTGTTCTAGAGACTGGATAACTTACAAAGAAAATAAGTTATAGTAAAAGTTTTGCCATTTCAAGTCCACTTTTTTGCCTTGCTTTTGTGGATTCAAGTTACTGTCTGGTGTCATGCTGGAGGCTGGGAACTCCAAAGCCAAGAGGCTGAGTCTGGTGGCAGCCTTGTGACTGTACTTTCCCATGGCAGGAGGCAGAAAGGTGAGACAGAAGAGGCCAGACTCATGGCCTCAAGCCCATGTACAGCCTGCATTCATCCATTCGCCAGGGCAGAGTCCTCACAGCCCAGACAGCACCCCGTGGGCCCCAGTCCCACCACTGCATTCATGAGCTTTTAGCTGTTATTTCTGTTGATATTGTTTCTCTTCCTTTCCTGGCTGGCTCTCCCATTGTGCATATGTTGATGCAGTTCTCTAAGGCTTGTTCTCAATTTTTCTTTTTCTTTTTTTTTAGTTTCAACTCATATTATCTCTATCTCCGTATCTTCAAGTTACTGATGCCTTCTTCTGCAAGTCTTGCCTTGAGGAGTGAGTTTCCATTCCGTGATTTTGTGGGACACAGTTAGACCATAGCACACACATTGAGAACTTCTTAAGCTTTGTGTGTTTGTCCATTTTCTGTTGCTATAACAATGCCTGAGTATGCAGTTTATAAAGGAAAGATTATCTTGGCTCAAGGTTCTAGAAATTCAAGAACGTCATGCCAGCATCTGCTGTGTTGTTAATAAGAGTTCAATGCTAGAAAACAGCGGAGAATATGTATTAGAAGGGTGGGATGGAGAGATGAGAGGTAGCAGGCTTGCCTTCTCATAGCTCCCTCAGGAAAGCTGTCCAGTCCTGCAAGAGCAAGAACTTGTTCCCACAGGAAAGGCATCTGTCCCTTTTAATGACCTCCAGAAGATCAGGCCTCCCCACAGGAGGGGATTTTTGGAGGGAAGAAACCATATTAAGCCACAGCACTGTGCATGCCCTCTTTGAACTGCAGAGTGCATGGCCTGCAGAGTTTTACAAAATGAAATACATTCTCTTGTGTGAGCTGGAGTGATGCTTACTGAAGGACCCTGACCGCCACCATTCTGAGCTGACCGGAGCCACGCGACCCCCACACGGTGCCTGTGTCCCTGCTAGAAATGTAGGCTCATGGGCTCCGAGGCCCCTGACTGCGGTGCAGTCCACGACTCCCGTCATCTCTCAGCCCTGCACTGGACAAGGAGCCGAGCTCCCTATGCACTTGAGCTGGTTCCTAACGGTAACCACAGCTTTTACTGAAACCCACCCCTCATCCCCACAACCCTGTAAGAAGCCCCAGAGCCTGTACCAGAGTGGTTGGTCTGGTCTCTCATGCCAGCATGGTCCCACTCAGGTTTGTATTGCCATAAACCCATCCTGTGAGCTCTTACCTCAGTTTCTTTTCCTTCTCTACCACCAATTTACAAGTCAAAGACATTAAACAGCAATTGAAGCATGACTTTCAAAAATGGTTCGGATGGCAAATGCTGGCCTGAAGATATATCTCAGTAGTAGGTCTCTTGCTTAACAAGTGTAACACCTTGGGTTAAATTCTCAGTACCACAGAAACAAAATGGTTTTGCAGTATTGGGGAATGAACCCAGGCATTGACAGTGACCTGCATCCCAAGCACCATCTGCGCCCGCCTTCTTTTAGCTTTTATTTTGAGGCAGGGTCCTGCTAAGTTTCAAATTTTCCCAGAGTTTGTTGGACCTGGAGATCCTCCTGTCTCAGCCTCCAGACTATTGGGATTACAGGTTCACGCCAGTACTTCCAGCCATAAATTTTATCTTAGGTAATTTTTACAATTTTTTAAATGCTGAAAATTGTGTATTGTAGAGATTTTGAAATTAGTGTTTTAAATGTTGAAATATACAATAGTCCTAAGCAGGGTACAGTTTTCTTATTTTTATTTGACTTGTTATCCTTTGCCAGTCACTGCTGTTGTTGGTGGGCAAGTGGTCGTGAGACTGTTACATGCATTGTGCATTGCATCTTGGGTTTCTTGTCCTGAGTATGGAAATAGGAAGGATCTGGATTATGTTTAATTTTGAAATTGTTGGAAGGGCATCATTCAGTTTAAAATATGTAAACAACTGCAGCCACGAGACAACAGATTGTGCTTTTGGTTAGAATTCTGGAAATCACCCCCTTTTTTACACTAGTGCTAGAACAAAAAAAGGCTTATATTTAAAGTTAATAGAAAAAAAAGTCAGCAGGATTATTTTAAATTCAGTGAATGCAGATGCAATTAACAGTAAGTATGGCTATGAATTTACTAACTCCTATATTTGACACGTTTCAGGGATATCTACAAGTGTCTAAACTAGTTTTTATAAGTTTTCATACAAAATTATATTTCTATAGGGAATCAACCTTAATAGAACAATTTGAGACAAAGTCCTAGCTTTATGTATTTCCTAGCAGGAAAACACAAGAAGAGACGTCATTGCTCGCAGATGTACTAAACAAAATAGAACTTGAGTTTACTTGAGATCATATAGCCTTTCTTTCTAAAATAATGAAATGTTCATGCATTTTCAATATCCCTACATATCGGTAGATCAGTTCCCAAAATAACTTTATTATTTTACATTTTAAAAAGAATATCTTTTGCTTACAACCTGTATTAGCAAGTTTTCCATCATCAAAACAAACTACTTGTGACTAGGAAACTTTGTAAAGAAGAGAGATTGGTCTTCTCCTAGTTCCGAAAGTTTCAGGGCCTCCACTCTGTTCTGATGTATGCTTTTAGTGGATACCCTGGCAGTGGCTGGAGCGAGTGATCACATCAGAGAATAATGACAGAACTAGTGAGTTTTAGCTACAGTTGTGAAAAAGCAAGAGAGAAATCACACACAGACCTTAAAAACATACAATTAACTGCAGCTACAAAGGAAAAAATCTGGCATGAAACTATGAAAATACAATTTAATCATAGATACAGAGAAATTGAAAATGAGATAAGCCATTGTGCATAGATCTATCGAATCAAACAGAAAATCTTTGAAATGTCTTTACACAGTAGAATTTAAACTCAAGAGAGGAGGTTCCAGCTTTTTTCCTTCTATAATTAAAAAATTTTCTCTTTTTCTTTTATTAATTATCCCAGTACCCAATACATTATTAGACTAAACAATCAAAGGAGAAATATATGTGTGCTTCAATCCCTTATTTTACTGCATAAATTTGTTCATAATGCCTCTGTTATAGCTCTAGAAATGTACTATTTTTCATTTGTTATTGAAATTTTATAACTTTTTTCTTTATCTTCCTAAGATCTATCAATTTTATAACATTTCAAAAAGCAAATTTTTTACCCTCTCTATAGTTACCTATTTTACTAATTTTTTTCTTTTAATATTTTTACTTCTACATTTAAGCTTTATTTCCTTTCAAATCATATTTGTTTGAACTTCATGAACTGTATGCTCAGCTAATTGCTTTCCTAAAATATGCAATTAAAGTTATTATGTTCCTCTGGAATGACCTTTGAATGTAGTCCACAGCTATTACGCGCTTTATTTTCATCGTCTCACAGATCTTTCTATACTCCGGGATCTCGCCCACCTCTCCTTCGGGGCTCATCCACGTGGATGTCCTGGATACATCCAAACTAGGACATTCTAGGCCTTTCTTGGGTCACAAAAGCCTTTCTCCCTACAGGTTCTATACCATCACCTGCTTTAATCTATGCCACCTTCTTTACATCCCTGTCTTTTGCACTTTAAGTGAAAACACTCTGCCTTTTGAGGCCTTACTTCCTTTGGAATCTGCATATCAATAAGAGCTCAAAAGTGATCACCCTTTCCTTCAATTCATGTATGTATTTGTATAATCGTAATACCAAGGAGCCATATAGATGTGGCCACAGAAAGTTGAGGTTCAGATCTGCACTGACAGAGAAGAACTACATCATGATTTTAAAAAGATGCAAGTAAATTGATTATAAAAGTATAGTAGATATGAGCAGAGTCAAATAATATGTTATCATACACAGCACCAAAGAGGAAGAAGACAGCACCAAGGAGGAAGGGGAAAGTTCTGGGGCAGGATCAGAACACAGCACGATATCCAGTTTGTTAGTTTCTTAAGTGTTGTGTTCAGACTTGGTGTCAACAAGCCTGCAAGACTGGAAGGGTCATTCCCAGCCTTGGCTAGACTCAAGGACACACACACTGGTGGCGCGCCCACCTATCTGGAGTAACATTCTCTCCCACGGAGGGAGGTGGCCAGCCCCTCAGTGTAAGGGACAGCTGGCATCCGAGTTTGCCTGGCAAACACGCATCTCGCTGACTCATCACTTTAACCCTTTTCTTGACAATAACTGAAAAACTATAGAACTTTCTCTAGGTCCTGAGATATGCTCCTACAACTGAATCTTTTGAACTCCACAAATTTGTCAGATTCCAGCCGTCTCTGTCCCATTTTGCTTGTGTTGAGCATTCCACACACTCTCCTGTGCGTGCTTGGCTCCCTCAGCCATCCGCGTAGCTGTCTTCCTTGGCTCAGGTGACAGGAAATCTGGCCACCTCAAACATCGTGGTGCAGCGCTGAGCTGGAGAGGAAATGCCCAGCCTACTGAGGAAGCCTGGGGGCGGCTTCATTTCCCCTGCATCCCTCCTGAAGACTCCTGGCCTGAGGGACCAAGTGGACCAGCTCTGAACAGGGGTCTAGGAAATTCGGCACACACAGGTGAGACAGGTGGTAGCCTGCTCACTCTTTCTGTCCTTCATGCACTGAGACTCTGGTCTCAGATACAGTATCGGAGGAAAGGAACTCTCATCATCTTTCTCTGTCTAGGACCAACTCGAGTCTAATGCCTCACTGACATCCAGTTACCTCTGAGCTCCACCTAAGTTTGGCTCTGAAAACAGATTTACATTTGGCTGTGAAGGACAAGAAAGATGAATTCATATTGCATTTTTTTCAGAATACCCTGGGCTTGGTTTCTATTTTAGTTTGAGATATTTCCCTTCCCATATTAATACACATGGTTCTGATTTCATATACTTACTTCTGAAAGAGGTAACTAAATTTACTCTCGTTCCATGCAGAAAAGATGAAATAAAAACATCTTCATATAATAGAAATTTAAAAGATGTTGCTTTCTTAAACAAGTTATCAAAATAAATATTTTATAAAAGACAGGCTGGACGTGGTGGTGCACACCTGTAATTCCAGCACTGGGGAGGCTGAGGCAGGAGGATCACTGCAAGTTGAGACAAGCCTGGGCTACACAGTGAGTTCCAGGGCAGTCTGAACTACATAGTGAGACCCTGTCAAAAAAAAAAAAAAAAAAAGAATAAATAAATAAAAACTATAGTCCAACTAAAGAAAGGAAATATTTATTTCCCTTAGCTTATGCCCTTTTCTTCTAACACTGCACTTCTAAAAATGTGGACATTTGAAGAAATTCTGCAAGAACATTAAAAAACGTGCTATGTACTATCCTTTGGTTATAGAAATACAGCTGTCACAGTGAGGACTTAGAATCTCACTGGGTACATTCACCTCTAGTCATGTCTCGCGTTGGCCCAGCCGATAAGGGAAGAGCTTGATGCCAACAGCGAACATGGGGAGTTGTGCATTCAGCGCGCCAGCAGTGACTCGGAAGACCCCGGCCTCCCTGGGCCCGGCCTCCCTCCTCCTTTCCCCCCGGCTGGCACAGCTGCAGCACAGTGCAGTTCTGGGTGGCCATGTGCAGGCTTGGAACGTCCTGCGTACTGTGTCTTTTTCCTGCATTTCTTCTTCAAAATTGAGGAGCCCTCAGGGAACAACCTCATCTACAAGGGCCAGTCAAAAAGATGTGGCATGTTTAAATTTTTAAAGATGTACAGTAAAGGCATATTGCCATTAATCACCCTCCAATCACCCCCACTCCCAGCGCCAAGCACACTCGTCCCATTGTTCTTACCACCTTCTGAAGTAGACCTACGAGTTCTCTTTCATGAGTACCTTTATGAGGTATGATAAAAAAATATACAACGAATGCTGTGGCCAAGCACCATCCAGCAGAAAAGCTGGCCTATAAAAGCATCTGTCTTATCAGATCTGGCACTGTGTGAATCTGGCCCGCTCCTAAAGTCAAAATGACCACATAGGTTGCTGTTCTGCATGAACCAGGACACTGAGGCAGCCATCACCATGGAGAACTTCCAGAGCCGCTGCAGCATGGCAAGAATGATGTCAAAAGTGTGTCCAGATGGAGGGGTTCATGCCAATGTCCCGTTCATCGTAATAATTATAACTTGCACACTCGCCACGTACTTCCCGATCCTGCCTTGTACGGTAGAAACTCTCGCTTGTCCGTCCAGCCTCGCAGCTAATGGATGCCGATGTGGACGGGGTCACCATGAGTGGATTGCAGAGGTGAAGCTGTCCCTGAAGTGTGCCCACCTCCTGCAAAGGGGGCATCTGAACATGGTCCACTCTGGGATCTGAGGGAGGCAGAGGGAGCAGGGCGTGAAGGGGAGGGAAGCTAGACAGGCAGGTATTTGTGGCTTCGAGGCCTCCCTCCTCTCACTGCTAACTTCCGCTAAGTAAAGTTCCATATGAATGTAGCGATTCACCAAGTCTGCTTCATTACCTTAAAGATAGAAGGGACTGCACCGGCAGCACTTCCTGCATAGATAAAATCGATCTCACGTCTCTTCGGATTCCTTGAGGGGCTCCGACCTGAGCAGGTGCTCCTGGCACCTCCCCGTGGGTCCTTGTCCTTGTTGTGTTGGGACGTAGAAAACGTGATTCCTTATCTGCCAGAAGCAGATGATCACAACAACTGACACATTCATCTCACCACTGGCAGTACCCTTGTCCACACTGTCAAAGTAAGCAAAACAAAATAAATCATTCTCTACATGGAAATAGTATTGAAGTGAGCAGGAATTTCTCTAAAACACGTGTTTAAACGCTGATTCATGCACATTTACCCTGAAAGCAATTGCACAATAGGTGGAGAACATAACCACAAACAGATCTGATATATAAAACCCTTGGGTTTAAATTTCCCAGCAGTGACAGAACTTCAGCCTCAAACCGGGCGTGGTGGCGCACGCCTGTAATCCCAGCACTTGGAAGGCTGAGGCAAGAGGATCGCTGTGAGTTTGAGACCACCCTGGGCTACATAGTGAGTCTCAACTACATAGACCTTGTCTCAAACAAAACAACAACAAAAACAACTTCAGCCTCAGTAAATACATTCCACACATCTCTTTTTTCCATTATTATCAGGAAATAGGAAGGAGCACTCAGCCCCCTACATTATCCTGGTTAAGAAATGACCCTAGCAGTTTATTTAAAATTATGTGTCATTACTTCATAGTTAAAACTACATGGAGTGATCAGCATTTATCCTTCCAAGTCAGATTTAACCAGAAATATAATAGTCACTGACTGCTTTATATGTGAAAACAAAATGATTTTTTTCAGAAATATAATAATCACATCATTTGCAGCAAGCTATTTCCTCTGTCCTGAGCATTTTAGCTGCTAGTTTTAGGCAGGTTTCACATTTTGAAGAGCTGTTGTCTCTGTGCTTGGAGGGCCAAATCCTCCTGAGAGATTCTTCTTTCCTTAAAGAAGAGGACACAGAGACAACCCCCAAACCTGCTAATGCTTATCAGCCAGAAATCTGTAACTAAGCTTTCTAAATATTTTTGAAGTTGTCAACCTAAGAAACAAATCAGCAGGGAGTGAATGATTATTTGTCCTGTCCCATGGTCCCATCCTCTGAATACACTCAGGGCTTATAATCTGCTCTTGGGTGGCGGACAGTCCCACCGTCCCTACAGCACAGCATGGGTGACGCCCTGCTGGGCCTGTCCTGCAGAACGAGTGCTTCACAGGTGAATACCAGGCTACTGACAGTGCTGAATGTATTTCTGGGCTTCAGGTCCAGTATCTTTTCCTCCCTAGACAGGTGTGTGTGTGGCATGTTATTCAATGAACATGCTCTCTAACAGTTAAAATTATCAAACCACTTCCTCTGGTGGAAACGGGTCTCTGATTTGTAGAATAATAACTCCCTTTCATTTATTGAAGAAGAAATTTAGGAGCCATAGATACCGCTTAGATTTCTACCTGTGTGCAGAGAAAATGTCATTGTGTGGGCCATGTAGAACATGCAAGTGGAATTCCACTTCCCTGTGCCCTGGGTAAGACAGAGGCCCCCCTTCCCAGGAAGAGGCAGCAGCCCTCTGCGGCCAGGACTGTCCCTCACATCAGCCCACCCCAGTGCTTCTTTGACATGGCCTGAGAAGACTGTCTGGCCAGGAACTTGTCTGGAGATGGTCAGGCAGGACGGTGTCTGTTCAACACACCACGGAGCACAGAGTTCACACTCCCAAGCAGCCACCCAACTATCTGCACACATTTTACTGAAGAATAACAGCAGAGGGGGCAGCCTGTCTCGCTAACTTGATTCCTGGATGCATTAGGGTAATATGAGCATGCACAAGCTCACACACAGTGTGAATCTTAATTACTTCCAGTGTAGGTTTTGCTGAGCTCCCAAACTGACTGCACTGGCCATTGCAAAGTCCTCCTGCACGCCTCACCTGATTTAGCTGCAGAGGGAGTAAAAAAGAACTATGTTGGT